CATGATTGGTCATTGAAAGTCTCCTCGGCTAAGTTAATTAATCTGAGGCTTGTCTTATTTGAAATTTTTGTCCATGCTCGTTGCTTGTTTTCGTGTCTTTTCTTTTCTTTTGTCTAGGACGAACAAAGTTTTTAGTGTGGGGGAGTTGTTTGTCCCATTTTTGTTATGTTTTATTCGTTGTTATTTTTCATTCGTTTTTCCCCATATTAGGCCTTTTCATTCGTTTCTAGTTTGTTTTATGTTTAGTTTCGTGTTCTTCTCTTTTTGGAGTCTTTTTATGCTTTTAGTTTGTTTTTCCATTTTTCTTGCGTTTGTCTCGTCGGATGTGGTGTGCAGGTTGGGTACCTCGATCGATTTTGCGAGCATAGCTTTGTGGAATAATGTGTTGGTGACAAGCAAGAAAATAGAAATTCAGTTATGAAGTCGGATGAGTTCTAACGGGTTCGAGACACAAAGTCGAACATGCTACCCAAGTAGGGTCCCAGACCATTCTGATAGCAGCTGCACATCCATCACGGTTCGCCTCCTTCCTCTCCATGTCGCTGCACATTTCTCCGCGTTGCATCCAACCTCACGCCGGGAAACCGTGCTGCCACCCATTTTCTCCACCTTCACGAGAAACTGCTGCCTGTCGCGCTGCGAAACGCCGCCGCGCCACGCCAGTGAAGACGTCTGCCATGTCGCGCCGGTGCCCTGACTTTGACAGACGACCAGACCTCAATCATCGCGCCACGGCTGCCGCCGCGCCGCGACACCTGCTGTTTCCCACGCGCAGCACACCATCGCGCCACCTCTGCACCATGAAGAAAATCTCTTTCGCGCCGTGCCATTCTGTCGCGCCATGGTTCCGACTTCTGCCGCGCCCGTGATACTCCGCCACGCCGTGAAGAAGGCCTTCCACCGCGCCGCGATGCTGCCACAAGTTTGACAGAGGACCAGGGAGTTCCCATCACCGCGTCTTGCATGCCTTCACGCCGTAAAGCCTGCTGCCCATTTTTGACCCTGTCGCGCCGTGACGGGCCTCCGCGCTGCGATGCCTGGTAGTGGCGCGCCGTGATGAGTTTCCGCCACACCGAGACCTGCCTTGATATAAATATGAGATCGGGAATTAGTCGAGGATCATTCTTTCACGCACAAAAACTCACGAACCCTACTCTCATTCTTCTCTTTTCGTTCTTTCACTTTTCTTCAATAATTTTCGACGTTGAACACGGATTTAATGTCGGATTTTGCTACTGCTTTCGGGATTAATCTTGTTTATCGGATTAAAGCTTCAATTTCTATTTAATAGTAAGACTTTCTATTCCTTTAACACATGAATATGTTTGTCTTGATTTGTGAGATTGCTTGCATTAATTCAATCATGTGTAGCTAAATCTCTATGCTAGGGATAGAGGATTAATGTTTTGACTTCGATTGTGACTGTGGGATTCGATGATTGTTCGTCTTATGCAAATTGTTCTTAACTAGGGTTTTTCAATAATCGTACTTGAGTTTTGAGAATTGTTGAAGAGTGACATTTCAACGTCCAATTAATTCAATTGAATTCAATTAATTTGTGTTTGATATTGGTGAATCTGTTTGACTAGTCGGTTAACCACCTTATAGTCTTATTCTTATCGACTCTTAGAACCGAAAGGGGAGGAGTCGGTCGAAATATGTTTGCATAAGCTAGGCTTGTTCGTAATTGTATTGCCTGGGAGTTAAAGGACTTGGTAAATCGCCGTTCTAGTTTGTTCTCTTATTACGAAGAGTTATTGAGGATGAGTACTAGAACGTGCAATTTATTCGAATTACTTAACTGAACAATCACCGACCCATTAATTGCTATTCGAATCAAGACGGATATCCCCGATTCCCTAGCTTCTTAAATCCTACTTGTTCTACGTGTTTGCTTATTCTTTTTATTGCTTCATTTAAATCTTGCAGTAGTCGATAATTTAAAAACCAACCAAACTTTGATTTAGAATGTTTAGGATTTTTATTTTTGTTATGGCAAAATGGCGGGAATTAACACGACCTTTACGTGTTTGGCAATTTAATCACGACTTTTAGACCTTGGCAAATAAATACAATACCTTTACATTTTTTTGCAAAATGGTACATGCTTTTAACGGTCGTTAACGGAAATCTGACGTGGCGACCAGGTGTATCCGAGTCAGCGATCAGGTGGCAAATTGTGACACATGGCAGAATTACATAATTGCAAAATAATGCAAAAGGGAGGATTTGAACCTGGTACCTCATATATATAACAAGTGATTATGAACCACTTGACCAAACACAACATATGTTAAATATCTGACTTCATTTATATACAAACATCATTTTATTATATATTATACTAAATATATAATATATAATAATATATTATATATAATATATTATATTATATATAATATATTATATATATTATATTACATTATATTATGTATTATATTATATAATATATTGTATATATAATATAATATATATTATGTTATATACTATATATTATATTATTATATATTATATATATTATTTATTTAGTATTATTTTAATATATCATATTAAAAAATATATTATAATATATTATAACATATTATAATATTATATATTATATTATATTATATTATATATTATATATATTATATTATATTATTATAACTATATTTTTTATATTTATTTATAATGTATTTTAATTATTCTGTTTTCGTTCAATATAATAAGTTATTTTAATTTTTTTTAGTTATAATAAAATTTAATTTATTATATTTTAATTTATCTTCTAAATTTAGTTTAATTCATCCATATGTAATGTCCATATATATTAACTGGTACTAAAACTAACACTTAACCTTGAGTGGTGTAGTGGTTGCATCTATTTCTTACTCCCATGAGGTCACAGGTTCAATCCCTAGGATCAGCTGATTTTTTTTTTTCCAATTTCTCGTGATATATTCAATATATTTTGATAAATTCAAGTTACCACGATATATTCACGATATCCTGTCGCTGACTCGGATACACCTGGTCGCCACGTCATATTTCCATTAACGGCCGTTAAAAGCATGTACCATTTTGCAAAAAATGTAAAGGTCATGTATTTATTTGTCAAGGTCTAAAATTCATGATTAAATTGCCAAACACATAAAGGTCGTGTTAATTCCCGTCATTTTGCATTTTGTTATTCGTGTGTGAATAAACGTGTTCCATATTCCGGATGACCTTCCTTGTGATATGACCCGGTGTCCGAATCTTTCAATTCTACTCCGGTAAAAATATTTACAACAGAACCCAGTTTTAATTTCTCAAGCCGTTTGACCGAATTTTGAACCGTTTACCTCGTTTTTCTTGTCAAAGTTGTTTTTAACCTTATTATTAAACTATTTCTTAAGTTTTTCTTTGAAAAACCGAGAGTTCTAAATTTCATTAAATTCAACGAGACTACTTAATCGATAATTTTCGACAAAGTACAAGTTTCTGTTGACTTTTTTTGGGCTATCGAGTGTCACGACCGCTCTTCTACTACTAATTATTCTTATATTTTGGAGATTTACTTAAATTTATTTATAAACATAACATGAATATTATTATTTATACATACTGAAAAGGATCAAAACACTGTTTCTCAAAGTTTTATACATCAGAGTTTATTTATAGAAAATTTAAACATAGTGTAAGTTCATTCGCTAGCCCAACAGGTCGTCATCCATGTACACATCCCCAAAGCTCTTTGGATCCAACAGTCCGGTCATGTTTATCATCAGATATCAACAAGATCACCTACAATACATAAATTATATATGGCTCAATAAGTAAAAGTCATGCATGTCAAGAAATAAAATCATCAGTTGATATGCACTACAACATGAAATGCAAATGCTCGTGTTGTGAAAAAGTCTGAAAAATATTTCTTTCTCTGGGCCCCTTTGACCTCACTACTAGGCACCAAAAATGAGCTTAATATCATCAATACTCATAACATTCCAGTACCGGTCGTCTCCCACGCCTTAAAGCAATGGCTCACAGGGCACTGGAATGGCTCAGTCCTTACGTCTCACACGCCTTAAAGCAATGTCTCACGGGGCACTGAGCATAACATAATAATAAGTCAAGTCCTTACGTCTCACACGCCCTTATGCAATGTCTCACGGGGCACTTGACCTCGGTGCGTAGCAGCGGTCAAATAATAATAAAAATACCATTTCTTTTCTCATTATGTCATGCATGCGAGATATTTTATCTGACTGTGAAATATGCATGCACGTGCACATGAAATATATGCTATTTTCAATGATATCAATATATATATATATCAATATTTATTCACATAAAAACACTTTCCATATAAATACATAAGTCTTCACATAATAGAGTAGATCAATATCATTGAAAATAGCATATATTTATTCACATAAAAACACTTTCCATATAAACACATAAGTCTTCACATAATAGAGTAGATCAATACTCAGTTTATGCATTGTAGTTGCAGATGGACTTGTGCTTACCTCGAGTCCTGCCTTGTAAAATCAGAAATTAACTCGTAGTTTAACTTGATCTAATCAGAACAAAATATATTCATTAATTTACAATTTAAAATTATCTTATTTATTAACTAACATATCATAAAAATTTTAGGCTAAATTGCAAAAACTAGCCACTAACTTAGACGGGTTGGCAATTTTAACCACATTCTTTTCATTTTGGCACTTTTAGCCAAAACGTTTTAAAAATTCGGTCTTTCTACCCAAATCCGGCCAAAGTCGTCGGAACTCCGCCTGAGAACACCGAAATTGCCAGCGTGGAACTACACGTGGACACTTAATCCACATCAGCTCGTTCCTCTATAAATACCCCTTCCACGCGTTACACCTTCACAATTCACAAAAAAATTGGGGAAAAATCGGCCCCAATTGCGAAACCCTAAAATCGCGCACAAAAACCCTAGGTTTTTGAAGTCTCATTGTTCGGTACAAGATTGAAGCAATTCGACTTAATAGTGAAGCTCTAAAGACATGTCGGACATGAGCACGGATTATCCATATTGCAATTGCGGGAAAAGAGCTGAAATCCGAACTTCGTGGAAAACTCCCAATTGTGGAAAAAGATTTTTCTCGTGCCTCTATTGGAATGTAAGTCCTCCAACTTTGTAATTTGATGTTTTTATATGAATAAATGCTTTGTAATTTAATATAGTTTTTTTTTTGTTGGAATTCAGGCAGGTGGATGCAAGTTTTTTGGATGGGTCGATCCTCCTCTTTGTGCCCGTGCTCAACAAATAATTCCTGGGTTGCTCAAGAGATTGAATGAAATGGAAGAATCAAGAAAGAGGCATGAGACTGAAAAACTGAGGTTCTGAAGTTTGAAGAAGAAATCAAGAAATTGAAGAAACAGTTGACAGAGTTTGAAGAAATCAAGAAATTGAAGAAACAGTTGACAGAGTTTGAAGAAGAAAACAAGAAACTGAAGGCAGCAGTGCTGAAATTCAAAAAGGAGAGTACCAGAAAAACAAGAATTCTGAGGGTAATAGTAGCATTCTTGATAATGTTGATTTTCATGTGTTTCTGTGGCTCTCAAACAGTTAATGAATAATTGATATTAGGTTGATGCTTACTTTTAATGTTATTGATATTGTTGTAGTTGGATGTTATTGATATTAGGTTGATGCATATTTGTAATGTTATTGACATTGTGGCTCTCAGACAGCTTTGTAATGGCATCAACATTTTGTGATTATAAGTATATTGTGTATTTACCTGTTAGTTTGTTAACCATAATCATAATCTGTTACTTTGTTTTAATACCAAATCAACACATAAAAAGGACACAACTTTCTTATTAGCCACTGCACAAATTCCTTATAAGCCAGTGCACAAAGTCATTACCAAATCCAATGCAAACCATACACTACAAAAACTCATTATAAGCCACTGCACAAAGTCATTACAAAATCCACTGCAAACCATATCACAAAATCCATATCAAATAAACCATAACAAATCCATAACATAATTCCTTACAAAAGCCATAACAAATCCGTATCACAATTTCAGACTTCAAAAGATCCCTTAAGCAGTTCAGAGTTCAACAAAAACCATTACAAAATATCTAACAACCCATTATCAACCTAGTTCAACAGACCCAAAAACTATTTGTCATTGCCATGACCCTTTTGGTTAAGTACCAAAAACTTTTTCCCCTTATCAACTACAACCTTGTTCTGAGCTGTGGTAATGCTGCTTCCCACAGAAAAAACAGGTCTCTCTCCAGTAAATGTAGGAGGCCCTCTGACTTGAACTCCATGTGTGGCTCTTGTAGGCTGCATAATGTTTCCACTGAGTAGTTGATCATACATGGATGGTCCAGGAGTTGATCTTTGCATTGTGTCCATCAAAGGTTCTTGGGATTGTTTTGTAGGAACTTCTTCCATCACAATACTTGCATCTTCTGTTGGATTTGACAGTGGTGGAAACAAAGTTGGGTTCACAGTACTTGCTAGGTTTCTAAGGGATGGACCACTGTTCCTTTTTACCTGAAATTAAAACACATATCACAATAACTTACAAAATTGCACCCATAAGTCAGTAGCAGTAGCAGTACATATATTAAAATTATAACCTGCAATTTTTGTACTGATGGAGGTTAGTTAGTGGTAGTTGAACATGTGGCTGCATTATGACCTTCACCACCACATCTGCTGCATTTCACCTTACTTTGTTGCCTCTTCACCTTTGTAGAAGATGAAGTTCCTTTTTTCTTCTTATTTTTCCTAACCATCTCATCACTCTACCTTCTCCTGGCCTTAGAAGGTCTCCCTGCACCCCTTCCAAATTTTGGTGGCAGTGGTGGTATGAAATTGTTCTCCTCCCAAAGTTCAGTGTCATTAATTGGATACAAGGTGTTCCCATAAGTAGCCATGTACTTGGACACTGCGTAGCATTCATCTACATAGTCCTCAGCATTACCTCTTTGAAAAAAGATAGTACTCTAAGCATGGCTTCACTAGGTCATCTATATGATCATCTAGGTCATCCCCATTATGGACCACATCTGCTTCACTGTTACCACTTTCTTCTTTTGAACCCTGAATTGAACTTTCCACATTATGATCAACAAAATTCTGATATAGATGGTCATCATCATCATCATCATCAATGTGATCATCTTCCATATTGTACTCAGAATCCATGGAGTCCTCATCAAAGTTATTTTCAACTGTGGCTTCATTATGATCACAATTTTCTGCAACATCATTTGCAGTTGACAGATGAGGTGATGAAACCCCAGAAAAACCTTCAATAAGCTTGAACAATTCCTCATCATTGTCCACTTCCATTAAACGAGATGCTTCTGAAAACTGATTTGTTGTGTCCCACTGTGATCAATGTTATCCTCAAACTGCTCATCATCATTATCACTTTCCTCAGTTTCCATATTGTATTCAGAGTCAAGAGAGTCTTCACCATAGCTCTTTTGGACAGAGGTTTGATCACACTCTTTTTGAACAGAGGTTTGATCACACTCTTTTTGAACAGGGGTTTGATCACACTCTTTCTGAACAGATGTTTCTCCACCATCCTTTTCAACAAATGCTTCTGGAAGCTTATCTGTTGTGTCCACACTAAGATCAACATTTACCTCAAACATGTCATCATCATCACTTTGCTCAGTTTCCCCAATGTAATCAGAATCAGGAGAGTCTTCATCAGAGTTCTTTTGAACAGAGGCTTCATTACAGTCTTTTTGAACAGATTCTTCTCCATCAGCCTTTTCAGCAAATGCTTCTGACAGTTTAACAGTTGTGTCCACACTAAGATCTACATTGTTCTCAAACAGCTGATCATCATCACTACTTTGCTCAGTTTTCACATTGTAATCAGAATCAAGAGAGTCTTCATCATCACTTGCTATCACATCCACATAATCTCTATCTCCTTAAGAGGTAGATGAGTAATAAACCAAGTCCTAGCATCTTCATCAGAGAAAATTCCCTGAAAGCTGCCACACAACACATAATATTTCCTCCTTTTTCCATTTCCAACAGCCTCATCAGTTAAACTATTCAGGGTTTTTATGTTCATTCCTTTACAATTCACATAGTCAAAGATAATGGAATCACCACCCTTATAGTAAGAATTAGGTTCATTGACAAATTGACCTCCATAGTACACAACCACACTGATTTGACCACTTTCACGAGCTGTGATTAAAATAAAAAAATTATCAGAACATATAACAACTTTTCATATGAATAAAAAACGATTGTTAATGTCCCCACATGTCTGTATAAACCCAAACATAAAACCACACAAAAGGACCACCACTTTAATTCTAACATTTTAAAAAAACTATCTTCATAAAAAACAAATATATACAGAACTTCAAATCTTACTGCTTCGCACGGAAAATTAAGAAATCTTATTGTACGGAGGCGGACAAGAGTTTGGCTTCCTACTGCTTCGCACGTATATTGAGGATGTCATCAAATCGTCGTCTTAATCTCTAGGTTTCATTTCCGATTTGCAGCTTCGCGAGCATTAGGTTTTTGTTGCGCGATTTTAGGGTTTATATTCTGCCCGATTTTTTCCCCAAATTTCTGTGTGAAGTGTGAGCTGATGTGGATTAAGTGTAGAAAGGGTATTTATAGAGGAGCGAGCTGATGTGGATTAAGTGTCCACGTGTAGTTCCACGCTGGCAATTTCGGTGTTCTCAGGCAGAGTTCCGACGACTTTGGCCGGATTTGGATAGAAAGACCGAATTTTTAAAACGTTTTGGCTAAAAGTGCCAAAATGAAAAGAATGTGGCTAAAATTGCTAACCTGTCTAAGTTAGTGGCTAGTTTTTGTAATTTAGCCAAAATTTTAAATAACTTAACTATTTTTTAAATTTAATACCATGAATAGTACTTCAATTTTTAATCATAATTTTACCTACAAAATTTATTTTGATATTCTTACTCGTATATATATTTATAAGACACGAACTTACAATT